GTATAGGGTAATAACACTGCTAGTTCTATATGAAATCCTATTTCTAATGCATGTCTACCATTGTGAAGTTCCAGTATGGGGTATTAACACTGCTACTTTACTGTCATGTTAATTAATGGCTGTCATGTTGCTATTTTTAATGCAGGTATACCAAATAAAGGATGAAGAAAGAACAAACCAGACCAACGTTCAAACCAAACGGCCAATAGTCATCATCCAAAACAAAAACAAACAAGAAGCCAAGTAGATGGGATGACCTAAACTATGTGCAGATCAAGTGCAACATGCTCTCTTATGGTATTGTATAGTTGGGGTTCCACTCGTTGTGGCATCCATTGGCACTGCCAAAATTCGCAGTGGCCAAGCTTTGCAAAGGAGAAGTTCTAAAGTGCTGAAAATTATGAAATATTGGTACAACTCTTACCACATTACTCCTCTCAATTATCTAGCATTAGCATCTAAAGTTTTAAAACAAACACATTCTTGCTAATTTTATTCACAGATAATCTATGCAGGGGTATCTACCTTGACAAATATGTTATTGATAAACAAACTTCAAGTCTCAAACCTCAAATAAACAAACATACCTAAAAAAAACTGTTTGTATGATAGCAACTACAAGAACCAATAATGCAACAAGTTATGTCAAATCAACATGTCATAAGAAATGGTGTCAAAGCAACAAAATAGAAGGCATATATTGGACTTGAGAATTCAAAATCGTTTACAACAAAGACCAAACATCTACAAAATTAGAAACCAGAGAAATTTACAACCTGACCACTTTGATCATAGTTCTACCAAAGCCAAAACTGCAAATTTTTAGACTATCCAAAGGAAAAAGGGTTAACAAAGAAACCCAAAACCTTAAAACAATAATTAAAAAAAAAAGAAAAAAAACTTGAGGTACACTAAAAGACGAAAAACTTTGAGAAAAAGAATACTAGTAATAACAAGATACCTCTACAAGAAAAAAGAGAGTACATTGTTAAGACTACATCATAGAAGTACACTATTAATATTATGTCATAGAACTATCTTCCTAGTAAAAATCACATTCTACATATCATAAACTTCAAGTGCACATCTATATATATATAGCAAAATATGGAGCATGCTTTGTTACTGAAAATCGGTTAATACTATGTCATAGAGGTACATTGTTAATACTATGTCATAGAAATCAACTCAGTTGCAAGGCATGAACAATATAATAATTGTTCATACCACTTACTGGAAGTTAACAACTACATCATTTCATTTCCATAATAGGTAGGATAAAAGTGTACAACTCCAACAAGAAGAAGAAGTTGCATTTGAATCAACAAACAAACCCTAATTAGACAATATTAAAAAAAACCATGAATATGGAGCTCAAACCTGATTAAACTTTGAAAGCTGATCAACAACATCATTTCCAACCAGTGCCTCTCCAACAAACAAGACAAGATTTGGATTGTTAAGATTGACTTGCTTGACAATGCACTCATTAACGGTTCATTATCCCGAAAGGCATAATACAATATATTTTCACATTAAAAATATATATACATAAGCAAAACCTAGGTCTCAACCTGCTGAAAAAGGAATTTTAACAAGTAAACAACATTATTATCCTTCTGTAATAGCAAAAGCACTGGTAAGATTGAAACAAAAATTGCTAACTAACAATAGCTTAGCATGTACATCATACAAACAGTAAATATTTATGTAGATGCTCAACCATTCTGCTAAGAACTAGAAACATAGTACCAACATTACAAATCATATTAGAACTAACACAAATAAGCAAGCAAGTAATTTTCGGATTTTTTTTTAAAAATCAATTTATTTATCGCAATTTGTAAACGAAATGCAAAACTAAGAAAAAAAATCGTAGACATATTCAAATTAATCACAAAAATGCAAAGAAACTGCTCTACGAGCTTCGAATTTCGGCGACAATCAAATCAGATCATACCAATATGATTCGGCTGACCTTGAAATGGTCTCTTCGTTCTTCTTAAGCTCATTCTTGTAAGCCTTCTCTCAGATTTGGTGCAGCATGTGGCCATGAGCGTCTGGATAAAATTACGGCTTAGAAGCTGTGGGCGTGGATGAGGTATCTCCTTCAACCTTTCCTGCTTGTGAATCAAACGAAAGCCTGAGAAAATGACATTGTTGAGGCCACTTGAGGATTGAAAATTCGAAATAGAGAAGAGAAATTGAAAGTGAAAGAAGCGACGAGGAAGACGACGAACCTAAGTCTTGGAAGAAGAATTGATAAGAGCGTTGCCTAGAGCACCGAAAGGATTGGAGGAAGAAGATGAGCCTGGAGCCACACAAGCTGCTCCACGAGTCATGAGCTCATGCATCGCCATGGTCGATGTTATTCTTCTTCTTATTCCTCTTCAATCTACAACTTAATTGTTATTAAATAAAAGATTTAAAAAAATTAAGTCGGATGTTCTCAAAATTGCACCCAAAAGGGCAAAACCGTAATCCAATATAACTGTTGAATTGAAAAAATCGAAATCTGTCGATTTTTGGGTTTCTTTTGGGTGTGTTTATATACATTAAATAGTATAAGGTTTATTTATAGTTTTATGTTTAGGAATGAGTAATTTAACTAATTTTCTATTTAATAAAGTCATGGCTTTGATGAGATCTCAAAGCAAATAGAACAAGGATGGCCACATGCTCAAAGTTTCTGTAGAAGACGGAGGCTTACTTGAGCAGGTCTTTTGTTTTTTTTAGGGCCTTTATCATACTTCATTTTTTTCCTCTGGCAGTCAGCTGATCTTCTCCTGTATGTTTTTCTCATTACGACTATAAAGAATAAGGAACCATATCAGCTAAAGAAATTATAGAAGTTTGGAATAAAAGCTATGCAAATCTTAAGAAAGTTTATTAAAAAATTATATAGAAGTCTTCTGAAAGTCTATCAAGTTCTATGTGAATTCTAAAGTTCCATCAAGTTCTATGAAAGTTGGCACTTAAACAAAATCTTTTTAAACGCTCTAGAATCCTAATTGAATACATCACTTAAACAAAATCTTTTTAAATGCTCTAGAATCCTAATTGAATACACCCCCTAAGATTAATTGATTGCAAATGTGGGTTAGACTAGTTGGCCAAAACAGTGAGCCCACCCCTCTTGCACTCAAGTTCAAAACCCTGTCACCGTAGATTAGATTAATTTAGAGGTATTTTTTGTCCTCATGCTTAAATATATGAAGCTTTTGTTGTTATGATTATTGTACCTAGCATATGTTGTTCAAATATATTACCAAAGTTTACAAAACAGTTTCCTTCAATTACATGCTAGTACACAGTGGTAAATTGATCTAATTAATAAATGACATGTGCTGATGATATAAAAACTAGTTGTCAAATTCGAGCACATGTCATATTTTACTTGGACTGCTATGTCATTTTGTAATGTCACGTAACAGAAACAGCTCCACATAAATTTTTCTATAATGTTCCCACATGGTAGTAACAAACAACACAAGGTTTGGAAGTTTTTCTCATACGAGAACCCTTTTCTTTTTGGTTCATTGCTCATTCTCTCCTAATGCCAGTTGAACTAAAGCTGAATAATATGACTTACTTGGTAAAACAATTATGGTGTTTCCAAAAACATTCTCATAGCTAAATTTCCTTCCTTTTAAGTCCTGTTTGGTTCAAGGAATGAATTTGAGGGGAAATCACTTCCCATGTCATTTTTCAAGGGATTGGAAATGAAAGATTCATTTTCGATGTTTGGTTAAGCTGGGAAAGTAACCTGGAGATATAACTTTATTTCCTTTTCCAAGTTTGTTTTGAGTAGGAATGGAAAACAAATTTGTATAATTTTTCAATTATACCTATATTAAATCAAATATAAAAAAAAGAATGCATTTAATGATATATTGTAATTCTAAATTGTTAATGGGAACAAAATGGTCATGAAAATTATGCATTTAATGTTGGCTCATTTTTCCAAACTTTCTCATAAAAAAGGAAAATAAAACCAAAGGGGAAAGGAGGACTTCACTTTCCCCCTTACTTTTCCATGTGCGAGCAACCGTTTTTCATGCATGAACTTACATAATAAAATAATTTATTTCTCATTCCTAAGCCTCATTTCCTATAAACCAAACAAACTTATGAGGTTTGAGATACCTCATATTAATTATTGAGAAAACAATGACAAGTAAATATCACCACATAATTTTTGCAATTTCTGACGTGACGTGGAAAATATCGATGGCCCACAGCAAAAAGAAAAAAAAATTTAAACGAAAAACTAAGAACTACGTGGCAACACCTAATAGACCGCCGCTCTTCTCTCTCTCTGCCCTTTTGGATCGTTCTCTTCCTCTCTCTTTCTCTCTCTCTTGTCTCTGAATGTTAATTTATAAATTCTGAAATCATTCTCGTCTCTCTGATCTCTCTCTCCCTTTTTTCTGTCTTCAACAATTCTCTCTTTCACTCACATTTGCCTGAAGCTTAGGGTTTCGTTGCAAACGGAACTCTCTCTCTCTCTCTCTCTCTAACACACACACACACCCACTGAGATTAGAAAAACATTGAAGCTTCAGAGGTACGCCTTCTTCTTCGCACCAATCGAAATTCCGGCATTCACGAATGTTCTTAAGCCGATCTATTTGGCCTCCGAATTTCTATTTTTCTTCTTCTTGGAATCATCCAATTCTCAATTTCATTTGTGATTTTGTTATTAGCTGTGGGGATGTGGTTACGACCTATGAATGAATTTCGGTTTTGATTAGGTTAGTGTTCACTGTTTCCTCGATTTCGTAATTTTGTGATTTTGACAATCAATTTGGGATTTGGTTCTGTATGGCTGTAGATTGTGAATGTTGGTTTAGATGCAACTGTTTTTATTATTATTTTATTATTGTTTTTGACTTTTGGGCTTGGAAATGGAGTGTTAAGGTTTAGGTGAGTTTTGGGAATTGAATAGAGGTTAAAGGTTGGTGATTGGGTGACCTAGTGTGGGATTTGATAGGTTAGTAATGACGGATTTTGAGCCGCTACAACAGAAGCCAGAATCCGCCGATGCCTGCGCTGATTTTGAGCGTGGATTTGAGGAATTCATGCGTGGGCACTTGGATGAATGTATGTCATTTGCATCATGTAGTTCTCCTCGTAATCCTGATGATGATGATGATGAGGGTGAGCAGCTCGTGCGGAGGAGACGGAGGTTGGATTTGGAGGGTGATGATTTAGCAGAGTCATCGGCTGCCCGACGCCACCACTCCCGGATTTTGAGCCGTTGGGCTGCGCGGCAGGCACAAGAAATGATAACTACCATTGAGAGGAGGAATCGTGAGTCTGAGCTGATGGCACTCGCAGGGCTGCATACGGTGTCGATGCTTGACTCCTCATTCTTGAGGGAGTCACAGTCCCCTACTTCAAGGCGGCAGGGGGCTGTGGAGAGGCCAAGCACTCAGGCTTCTGCGATTTTGCAAATGTGGAGGGAGTTAGAGGATGAGCATGTGTTGAACAGAGCGCGTGAAAGGGTGAGGGAAAGGTTGAGGCATCGGAGGAGTGTTGAGTCTAATACTAATGAGTCAACCACAAATATGTCTGATAGTCGAGGGAGTGAGAATCAGGGTAGTTTGGTGGATGCGAGTGAGAGTGAGAATGAGTATGGGACTTGGTCACATGATCAGATGGCTTCACAACATGAACGTGGCGCTAATGACGCTTCTAGTAGGGAGCAATCTCCTGATCTTGGCGAAGTTGAGAGGGAGAGAGTGAGGCAGATTGTACGAGGATGGATGGAAACTGGAATTAGTGATCATTCATCCAATGTTGCTCCGAGAAATAATAGTCCCAGAGCAGAGTGGCTAGGTGAGACAGAGCGTGAAAGGGTGAGAATTGTTCGTGAGTGGGTGCAAATGGCAAGTCAGCAAAGAGGAGCACGTGGGGGCCGAAGGGAAGATCAAGTTACGAGTATTGGTGCTCAAGTTGATCGAGCTCGTGATGCTCCTGTTGCTGACCATGAAGAAGGCCAACCGGAGCACATTCGCAGGGACATGTTGAGGTTGCGCGGAAGACAAGCTATAATTGATTTGCTCGTGAGGATTGAGACAGAAAGACAAAGGGAGCTCCAATCTTTGGTGGAGCATCGGGCTGTCTCTGATTTTGCTCATCGTAACCGCATTCAGGTCAGTTGCCTCATGAAGATTGTTTATTTGTTCGTCTTTTTAACATAAATCTGAATGAGCATCTACAAATTACCATCGTACAGAATTTGTAAATTATTAGAGCTTCAAACTTGAGCTCTGTAATTTGACTGGATTCTTTAGAAGATCAAAATAGCTGAGTACAATCGTTGTCAGGCAAGTAGCAGATTAAGTCTTCATAATATGTTTATGGTCGCATATTAGTGTATCCCCACATATTAGTGGATGAGTCCTACGAACCAGAAGCCAGAGCTGATGGTTAAGAAAGCATTAGTTTTTCCTCCCTTTCTGATATGCCTTTATTCTGTCTCAGTAGGTGATATGGATTTATTCTAGGTTTCTACATCCAGTTGCATGGATATCATTTTATTCACTTGGTTTCCTCCCAAATTAACATCTCTACTCCCTGTAAAGAAAATATTAACTCAGACGTTAATTAATAATTATATTGCTATATGGTGAATGCTTAAGTTATGTTAATATGGGAAATAGTTATTAGTTGTCGCCTACGTGTCTTAATACCCATTGATCCTTTTTCCCCTTTTAGTATTCAAACCTAAACCCTAATGCATATTTATAAGTTTTTTCCTGTATATGCCTGTTCTTATTACGATGGCCTATAATGTCATTAAATGTGCGTGCTAGAAGTTGCATTGACGTCATCCTAATATAGTGGAATTGCATAGTTCTTTCCTTGTTCTGCTCTCCAAAAAGTTCCCTTATATGATAATGTGGATGTTAAACTTCCTGCATAAATGGGCATGAATTGGCTACTAATAGAATTGAACATTTCCAGTCATTGCTCAGAGGTAGATTCTTACGGAATGAAAGACCCGTTGAAGAAGAAAGACCGCCTTCCATGGCTGCTGGTGAATTAGTTCAGTTGAGACAGCGACACACTGTTTCTGGTTTAAGGTATGAGATGTTTTTAGTCATGCCATACTTCTTAAGATGACTTAATTGGTTCATCATTGCCTTTATTGTAGCTTTAAATCGTATTTTACTTTTTGTTCAGGCTTTTTGTGGGTCTGTCTTTTCTGCAATGCATCTACAAGGAAAAAATGAAGTGTAGATATCATACGTTTTAGAATGCCATAAACACAGTTTTAATTTTTATTTATTTATCTCTGTTATCATGAAGAAGCAGTTTTAAGTTTTGTCATCTTTTTATCATTTCTGTCTGCTTCCGTTGTGGAATTTGTTTACATTGTTATAAATTTGTTGATATTATAAAGCTTGATTGGGATTTTTACTTTTTCTTTTTCAAATTAATATATGAAGCATTGCCCAAAATTCTTCTTTCATTTTTTTAAATCAGTAGTGGAGGGGAGATTCAAACTTAAGACCTCTTCCAACATTGGGAGGTTTGTACCACTGGACCAAGAGCTGGTTGGTATTTATTTGTATCTTTAGGAGATTTAAATTTCTTTCCAAGTCTAATGTGCTTTGCAGAAACATTATTAGTGATCTTGGGCTGGGGTACATAGAAACATTTCTAGATGGCGTGGCCAGAGCAATCATTGCTTTAACCTGCTTTGCTCAAGGTGTCAAATAGAACTGACATAGATGAATAAATGTTCGTCATTACTACATAAATAGGACACTCGTTTGGTAGTTATGTTATGATACTTATGGGAAAATTTACGATATTTCTTCCTGGGAGAATAGCAAAAATCCAGAATAAAGAGGGCACTCGTTTGATTTATGTTTTCTTTTTTCTTTATTTTGTCAGTTGAAGTGTCAGAATTGTAATGGTCAGAATTGCTATGAATGTCAGTTGTTAGCATAGTGACAAGTTTGTTTCCTTGTTAGGGAAGGGTTCCGCTCCAGATTAGAAAACATTGTTCGTGGTCAAGTTGGCAGCCATACTGATTCTGCGACTAACAGTAACATTAATGATTCTAGAAGCGATCATACTCAAACAAATGCTTCACAGGATGTCCAACAGGAAAATCATGAGGAATTGCAGACTGGGAGTCATGGGACTGACGTCAATCTGTTGCCTGATCCAATGGGGAACTTGGAAAGCAACACAGCTGTTGAACGTCTCGATTGGCAAGAAACTGCTAATGAAGGAAGGAATTGGCAGGAGCCAAGTGCTGAAGATGAGACACAAAACTGGCAGCAGACAACTTTCAGTCAATTCAATGAATGGAGAGATGGTAATGCTGAAGATACTGTTGAAAATTGGCAAGAAAATTCAGTCAATAATTGGCCTCAGGAGACTCCCAGAAATGTTGATGGAGAAACAGATCATCAGCAAGAAGCCCAGGGGATTTGGCATGAGAATGGTTCTCGGGAAGCTGTTGGAAATTGGGCCGAAGGGCCTTCTGCTCCTGTGAGAAATCGTCGTTCTGTTCCAATTAGAAGATTCAATAGATTTCATCCACCAGATGATGATAACGTGTACAGTATGGAACTCAGGGAACTTTTGAGCAGGTATTTGATCAATAGTAGATGAATTATATGGCGTTGCAAGCAACGTAGACTTATGATTTGATTATTTTTATGATGGTTATGATTTTTCATTTTGTAGGAGAAGTGTTTCCAATCTTCTTCGTAGCGGGTTCCGTGAAAGTCTGGACCATCTAATACAGTCATATGTCGAAAGACAAAGTCGTTCTCCCATTGATTGGGATTTGCATAGGAATTTGCCAACACCAACTCCGGCTTCACCAGAGCAGGATCAGGAGCAACAGAGGGATGATCAGAATGAAGATCAACATGATGCCATCAACAGACCTTCACTTGTTCTACCATCTCCACCAGTGCCCCCACCACAGCCATTATGGCATCAGGACTTACATCACACTGGCTGGTCTCGTCATAGCATGCATCGTTCAGAAATCGTGAGCCATCTCCCTTATACAAATTTCTTTAGGACTTCATCCCATTTGTTAGCATACTGGCTCTTTTTTTTCTTCTTCTCTAAATGCAGTTCGCTCAGGCATTCTGATTTTCTATTTTTTTCCCTCTCAAAATTTGAGGTGTGGATTTATGCTATCATTTTGGCTTCTGAGTTCTTAAACCATCACCTGGTTAGTAAGTATATAATATAACCATATGTATGATAAATTTAATAAAAGGTAATATTTACTTATAAATATCTATTTTTATTCAATATTTAGTACATTAGTAAATATATATTATGTATTTATTATATTAAATATATATTATGTACATAATATAATATGTATTAATATATATTACAGATTTTATAGATTTTTATTCCATAATTAAAATATGTATAGAAAAAAAGAATGTAGGACTAGAAATAGAATTCTATTTTATATATGGAATCTTTCTGTGGATCATAAGGAATTGGGACCTTAGTATGACATTACCTTGAGGAATAATGACATGGGGTTGTTTCATTACTTTACCATGTGCTATTCTTTATAAATAGCCTAGTACCTAATATTTTGCATTTTTGTGGAAAATTATTGTCCAATTTGATATTTAATGGGGGCCTATCATCTTTCACATGCTTTAAGATTCTTCTGATGTCTTGTTTGCTAAGACATCATACCATACGAAAAGTACTTTTCAAGACTTTTCTGTGCCTAGGTTTTAATTTCCTTGCTCTCTGTTGCTTTCTTTGAATGTGAATTCTGATTTGTAGCAGGAATGGGAGATGATTAATGATCTGAGAGCAGACATGGCAAGACTTCAGCAAGGCATGAGCCACATGCAGAGGATGTTGGAGGCCTGCATGGATATGCAATTGGAGTTGCAACGTTCTGTCAGACAGGAAGTTTCTGCAGCTCTGAATCGTTCATCTGGTGAAAAAGGTTTGTTCGAGAAATGTCTCTCTGTGTGCAATGGAACTGTAGATGTGATCATTCAACCAAAATTGTGGATGGGTTTTCATACTAGTGTTGTAACTTGTAACTGTCATCTATTGATCTTTTGTAATTGATTTGAAATATGCAAATACATTGCAGGGTTAGGCGCTGAGACATCAGAGGATGGGTCTAAATGGGGTCATGTAAGGAAAGGGACCTGTTGTGTTTGTTGTGATAGCCACATCGATTCTCTCTTGTACAGGTATTGTGCTTATAACCGTTACACATTCATTTTGAATAACTATGGTTTTATAATACACTCTTCTTTGTGTGTCCCCTTTTCCCTTCTTTTTTGTTTCTGGGTGCAGATGCGGGCACATGTGCACTTGTTCAAAATGTGCAAACGAGTTGGTTCGTGGCGGAGGGAAGTGCCCACTTTGTCGAGCACCGATTGTTGAGGTGATTCGAGCATACTCCATACTGTAAAAATAACTTTTAATAGGAAAGAAGGAAAGAAAAGAATAAAACTTGAATAGAATGACTTGAATGGTGGAAGGGGGGAATGCAGTGGTTGTTCCTTAGGATGAAGATGATTGGGAAGCTTCTGAGGTCCTCCTTTTTTCTGTAGTGTTTCAGTAGTTGCCAATGTTTTTCTGATTATATGTGGAAAACAGAATGCGTTGTATAATTGGAATAACAAATGGCACTCTTGATTCATCATTCTTGCGTAAATAAAATCTTCTCATGAAAATTCTTTTCTTGTTTCTTTCCCCCTTCACTCTAGCTATCATAGGCAAAAGCAAAAATAAGTAGCAGAATCTTGTGTCTAGTAAATTGACACAAAATTATTAGAAATCTTGTGACTAAGTTGGGCATGAGAGAGAAAAAATGGACATGGTAAAGATAAAAGTGGGTGGGTGGGTAAATAGTAGGGTAATGTTTTAATTACTACAGTAACCTTATTTATTTATTTATTTTAATTTTTTGTAAAAATCAATTACTAACATTTTTTTTTAGGAAAATAACTAACATTTCCTTGTGTCACGATTGACAGATTTTTTTCTTTAGTATAGTATAAGAGCAGAATGAGATATTATCTTTGTACAAGCTTGGGTTTGGTGATGTCGTGGAAGTGTTCTCACTTTTGTAATTTTGACTACTGCTTCCTACTTTGTGTAATTTTTAGAAATCTGCTTTGTGGAAATGTAACCTTGACTTCCAATCATGAATTGCAATTTTCCTTTGTATCTCAAATTCTGTACATACTTTTGGGTTTTTTTTTCTTCTATTAAATCTCTAGCCTCTGCCCACCTGAGATAGCCGATGACTGCTGCTAATGGGCAACTCAAATTCTGTACATACTTTTGGGCAAGGCGCGAGCCCTTTCGAACCAAGAATCCCAACCCTCAAATTCGTGGGGTTAGTTTTTTTTGAAAATTAGAGATAAATTCTTGGGGTTAGTTTAAGTGGCAAGGGAATGGGGAATAATGAATTAGATGATAGAGAAGTGTTTGATTTCCTCCAATGTAATAAAAGGGTATAATTAAAAAATCACAACTATTTTTTTGTACCAAAAAAAAAAAATCACAACTATTTTTTACTGCTCAGAGGAATCAGGCAGCATCGTAATGGTATATAAAGTTTCAACGAAGTTCCTTGGTATTAACTTATGATTAACCAAACCTATAAAATTTAAGAAAAATTAGTGTTTACCCACACAATAAAACTTTAGTAATTAGCATTTGATACATTATATATTTTGTTTTGGATAAGATGGATGAGTTTTAAATTTTATTTTGTTAAAGACCAATTAGTAAGCCCATGTGCTAAAAGCATGATTAATATAAGAGTTACATTTACATTTTTGCCATTTTCTCTTTTTTTTTCTTTTTTTTTTCCACCATGATATTAAAATTAGCGATCGACAAGGACTGGACGAGCATTGGCATCGTGACCATAGCGATCAACCTAGCACCGGACCTTCAAGTGGCGATCTCAAAGCAACATCGCACAGCGAGCGAGAAGCATGTACATGAGATCATCATCGTCGCGAGTCGAGTATCGGCACTTGGTTCAAAGGAGGTTTTCATATTGAATATGGGCTCCTTTTGGACTCTTCTCGATTGCAGTCCTGATTTTGTTAGTCGTTCACCATAATCAACATGAAGATCGGGTCGAACAGCCTGTACTAATATGATTGCTTAGCTCCCCTATGCTGCTATTATGTGTTATTTGATTTAGTTTGTCCTTGAATTGGTGACCTGTGCGTTTCTTCAACATTTTAATTTGATATGCTCCATTACAGTCAGATTGCATATAGGCTGGCATTTGTAATTTTGGGCCACCTATTACATACAATAAATTGCTTCCCTCAGCTTCTTTGGTTTGGTTATAACTTACAACCAAGGTTCAATTAATTCCATTCTTCCCTGTCATATAATTCCAAATTCAAGTTAAACAGAAATTTCAGAGTGTGTAACACTTTTCTTTGTCTGGGCTTGAGCTTTCTTCGGTTAGAATTCTCCACTGTTATAACTATCAACCTTGGATCTTGACAAAATTTGGAGAGTTGGTGGAAAGAGATGTGAAGACATCCAAACTTTTCTTCCTTTTTAAGGACATCTAACTTTTCCCTTTTTCTGTTGCACCAATTGACATTTCTTGCATTAGAATTAGATTTGTATTCTTACAGAATGATCAAGTTGGTTTTTTATCATAGTAATTCTAGACTACAATCCCCACAATGGGTCCATCCCATTTATATGAGTAAATTCAAATACCATTTTCGTTTTGGTCAGACTCAGGCATAGATGCAATTACCAAAACTTGTCATGAACACTTCAATGGAGAAATTGATGGTAGGGAGCTTAGGCACTGATAAGAGTAGTTTAGATCATAAATAAAAAAAATAAAATAAAAATCCAGAGCTCCTTCATAGTGCCAACTTCATTCTCCCTATGTTTGAAGTTGTCATGTGTTGCGTTTCTTGTATCATAAGACCTGTGTTAAGTCATTTCTTATGTTTTGCTTGCGGTGCACTATTGCAGCTTGTTCTTTTCCCTTATGCAGACCTTTGGTGGTTTTTGTGCAGTAACCTATTTGAGAAACGGCAGCTCGACAACGCCAAGGGTGCTTGGCCGGAGAAACTTCCAGAAACACTATGGGCCATTCGGACATCCTACCGAACGTCCACCGGAGAGACCCCATTTTCTCTCGCCTTCGGATCGGAAGCTGTTGTCCTCGTGGAGATCGGTGAGCCTTCTTACTGAACGGAAAGCTTTGCCCCGAAGGTTAACGAGGAAGCACTAACGTTGAGCCTCGACCTGATTGAAGAACGTCGAGCGCAAGCCAACCTTCGAAATGAAGCATACAAACAACGCGTTTCTCGGTATTACGACTCGAGGGTCAAACCCCGCTATTTCCGAATTGGGGACTGGGTTATGCGAAAAGTCTCTCTGGCAACCAAGAACCCCACGGAAGGAACCCTCGGACCTTCCTGGGATGGACCTTACGAGATCATCGGTATACTTCGATCGGGAACTTATCGGCTAAGAGACTCCAACGGCAAGACCCTCAATCATCCTTGGAACGTCGAACATCTGAAATATTATTTCTAGTAGAGTTCCCTAGCCTATGACAGGTTGAAATTGTAAAAGAAAGAACTTTGTAACCTTGCCTTTGGCAGAATTTAATAGAAAAGCCCTCGGCTCTATTATTCATTAAAAACTATTGATTAAATTATTTACACGTTCTTCGGCAATATCAAAACAAACTTTTATTAGCCTACGACAGTAAATTGGATTGAGTTTGATCCTACCGATCATATCTACGCTTGTAATTTGTCAATTGGAGAAGATTCTTTGTTCCATACACATGATTAGCCCTCGGCAATTAAAATATTAAATTCCAAATATCTTATCGATTAAAGGTTCACTTGGCAATCAATCTTTTACTTTGCCTTCGGCATTTAAACGATTAGGTCTAAGTCCCCTATCGATTAGAAGTCCACTTGGCAATCAATCTTTTATTTTGCCTTCGGTGTTAAAATACTTAAATCCCTTACCGATTAGAGGCTCACTTGGACGTCAGTCTCCTATTAGCCTTCGGCAATAGAAAGGTTAAATCCAAACTTCTTACCGATCGGAGGTTAACTCGGTAAAAAGGTTTTAAACTTAAAATCCTACCGATTCAAACAATCGACAAATATTTGCAGTTCAAAATTTGTTAGCCTTCGGCAACGGCAAAAGAGATATGAATAACCAAAAAATTAAAATGAAATTTAAAGCGGATGCCCTCGGCATCAAGGTGTTCAGGATAAGCTGCCTTATGGCAGTTACAGAGAGAAAATAAAAATTACAAAGCTACGAATAGATCAGGCGGTAGCCTCTTCACCGGCAGCCTCATCAGCAGCGGCCTCGTCATTGGCTCCTTTGGCAGCGGCAAGACCCTCGGCAACAACGGCTTCCTCCGGAGCATCCTCCCCCTCATAATCTTCGATCATCTCCTCGGTAATGCCTTCCGGTAGAGAATCAGGATCGGCAATGAAGTTGAGGTTTAGCTTCTGCCCGCGGTTGTACCGTTTAAAGCGATAGAGGAGGTTCGCCATCTCGGAGCCCACTTCACTGTCCAGCAGGACAGTGAACTCTTCGGATGAACGCAAGGCTAGATTGGTAGCAAAGGGTTACACTCAAACCTATGGAGTGGATTATTGGGAGACCTTTGCTCTATTGGCAAAGCTCAATACTGTGCGTGTACTCTTGTCCTTGGGTGCTAATCGCGACTAGCCCTTATTGCAATTCGATGTTAAAAATGTGTTTCTATAGGGTGACCTCAATGGGAGATTTACATGGATCTCCCTCATGGTATTCCTGTAACCTTTAAGGAGGGTGTTGTGTTTAAGCTGCAGAAGTCCTTGTATGGATTGAAGCAGTCTCCAAGAGCATGGTTTAGGAGAGAGATGGAAAGAGAAAGACCAGACTAGAGCGAATGAGGAGACAAGGGCATAGGCAGCGTTACACTCAAACCTATGGAGTGGATTATTGGGGGACCTTTGCTCTATTGGCAAAGCTCAATACTGTGCGTGTACTCTTGTCCCTGGGTGCTAATCGCGACTAGCCCTTATTGCAATTCGATGTCAAAAATGTGTTTCTATAGGGTGACCTCAAGGGGGAGATTTACATGGATCTCCCTCATGGTATTCTTGTAACCTTTAAGGAGGGTGTTGTGTTTAAGCTGCGGAAGTCCTTGTATGGATTGAAGCAGTCTCCAAGAGCATGGTTTATGAGAGAGATGGAAATAGAAAGACCAGACTAGAGCGAAGGAGGAGACAAGGGCGTAGGCAGCGCAGAGAGCATAGAAGATGCCATTATGCCATTGGGCGTTCTTGTCACATCCCGGGATTGGCTCTGCCGTAGCACGATATTGTCCGCTTTGGGCCCCCCTCTCTACCCTCACGATTTTATTTTTGAAAACTCACAAGCAACTTCCCAGTGGGTCACCCATTTTATGATTGCTCTAGCCCCAACTCGCTTACCTTCGGAGTTCCCATGACTCCGAAGCCAGTGAGCTCCTAAAAGACTTCGTGCTAGATGAAGGTGGGCATGTACATATAAGGCACATCACCCCTTCTCCGTTGGTCGATGTGGGATGTTACAATCCACATCATTTAGGGGCCCAACGTCCTCGTCGGCACACTCGCACCACAAGGTAAAGTGGCTCTAGTACCAAATTGTCACATCCCAGGATCGGCTCCGCCGTAGCATGATATTGTCAGCTTTGGGCCCCCTTCTCTGCCCTCACGGTTTTATTTTTGGGAACTCATGAGCAACTTCCCAGTAGGTCACCCATTCTGGGATTGCTCTAGCCCCAACTCACTTAACTTCGGAGTTCCCATGACTCTGAAACCAGTGAGCTCCCAAAAGGCCTCATGCTATATTGAGGTGGGCATGCACATATAAGACACATCACCCTCTCTCCATTGGTCGATGTGGGATGTTACAATTCTCGTTGATCTCGTCCCGCCAATTAAAGAGGAAATAGGCGAGCTCCATGGGCGCGAAGGTGAATGTGAATAGCATTCTCGTCATAATAGGGGGGAGCTCCTCTGAGGCCGAGAAGCTCAGCGATGGTCAAAATGTTAAGAAGCGGAGAAAGGAGCAGAGAAACTCTCTGCCTAACTCGTCAAAGCAAAAGCACACAACTCACAGAGAGACTGAGAGAGGAAGATGGAGGGGGTCTACCAAAACTACCCTTACCAGAAGGTCCAAGAGAGATCGAGATAGGGTGGGCTTTTCAGGGATTTGGAGGCCTTTTGTTTACACACACCATAGAGCATGGACCATGCTTTTTAAGTTTATTTATTTATTTATTTAACTTTTTTTAAAAAAAATTTATAATATTTTAATTGAAATGGATGGTTTTAGCCCTCAAATTAACAGCCAAATTGACGAAAGGACTCAATTGGAACGGATGAGAGTTGGATGACCTAATTGCCTAAAAAAAAAGGTCGGTGACCCAATTGCAACTCGAGGTAAAATTCAGGGACCTCTATAGTTAAAAACCCTAAGAATAAAGTAAAGTATAAGTTGGTTTGTAAGGTTGTGCAAAGTGGAGATTGTAGGTTTAGCTCAATTGCATTTACTTTTTTTACTTCGTTTTTAATTTATTTTAATAAGGAACACCTGAGGTTGCGGCCAATATTTCGAGAGTAGAGGGTAGCTATGTATGGGACCAAGTGTGGCATAAGTGAATTTTTGATATTCTTGATTGTGATTTAAACCTTACTATTCCACTTTAATAAAGCATCTCTCTTTCATTGGCGAAAAAAAAATTATTTTAATAAAGGTGTTAACCCTTAGACTGCAGGTCACTTAGCATGGTGTCACACATGGTTGTTGGCGACCGGGCAGTGGTGGCTGGCTGGCAGTGGTAGATCTGGCATATCCTAATTCCTTAAGATTTTCTTGGGTTAAAGTTAAATTTTCTTAAATTAAATTAGGACATGTGTCATTCGAATAAATAGGGGACGTGGAGGGTATAGACAAATTGGGTAATACAATTACTTATTGACTTAGAACACTGCCTGCCGTATGAAATTCAGCAATATATATTTCATCACATTCATGTTGCATGCAAATCACAAACGTTCTCCCTTTCTTATTTTCCTCGATGAAAAATCCCCCCTTGATTATTTCTACCAAGGATGGGTCCAATAAAAGCTAACAAAAGTCAAAGATTGCCACACATATGCAAGAAAACAAAAAATTTCTCTTTCTTATTGTATATATAGTATATATCTGACAACATCGATTACTGCTTTTGATTTGACTTTTGTACATACACACAAACTATTCATTTGTGTCAAATGTATTTACGTTAAATAAAAAAATTATTAGGGTTGCCAACCACCGCCACCTCTTACGGATCCCTCTACCATCCAAATTAGCGCCACTTCGCCTCTCTCTCTCTCTCTTTAAATTAAAATTTTCAACCAAACTCGCACAAATAAATACAAGATTAGATTTAAGAATTGGGTATAAATGAAAATTATGCAAATACACAATTAGCTCACTCAAATTAAAACTGTCAACATCTTAATTCGTACTTACCATCTTTCAATACAGTCAAAGCAAAATCGATTTGTCTTACAATTGGAACAGTGAACAAGTACGAACTTGTTAGGCTTGTCCTACAAAACGCAAACTTTTCATTTTCGTTCATTTCACAAAGAACGTAGTCGACCATCCATAAGAATTTAGAACAACACCAACACAGAACAGAGAGAGAGAGAGGAGAGAGAGAGAGAGAGAGATCACCTCTTTCAATTTACAATTGTTCATGGGGAAGGCAAAAGGAGGAGAAGATAATTTTTTTCCTTTTAAAATGAGGAGTCGATAAATAGAATTTTTTTTTCTTTCAAAAGTATATAAAACCTGAAGGCACAAAAAAGTTCTTCGTATCTTATGGAAACACAATTAATCATGCTTTTAAACTATAATAATTAATCATGTTTTTTTTTGTGTAAAAGACATCTTTAAGTATTTTTTGTGCTAAATGAAATTGAAAAGGCATAAACCCTTCTTTCGTGCTCTTTGAAATGTGCCTTTAGAGCAGTTTTGTAGTAGTGAGATAAGCATAAAGTAAAGTATAAGTTGGTTTGCAAGTTTGTGCAAAGTGGAGATCGTAGGTTTAGCTCATCAATTGCATTTTACTTTTTTTGACTTTTTTAAAAATTTATTTTAATAAGGCAGCGCATGAGGTTGTGGCTAATGTTTCAAGAACTGTAGGATCCAGGAATTTTTTAGCGGAAGAACAATTTTTAAAAGCACAAGATTTGACTGATGAATAAATTTTTATAAAGATTTGAAATTCTCTCAGCAACAAAACAAAGATTTGGTGTGGTGGGGACGTAAAAAAGAAAGGATATGAATATGATGTTTTATAAAGACTTTTTTATTTACCTAACATGTTTTGTAAAGACTTGGATGAAGTTCTCTCAAAAAATACAAACAAACAAAAAAACCTTGCAATTGGAATTTGGGTCGCTAGCTTTCTGGAAGAGCCTCGAGGCTTCTTCAATTCAGTTCAACTGGAGTGAACTTGGACTTTTGTATTAAATTATTAAAAATAGTATATAATACTTATTATGACCACGTGCAAGTCTGAGGGCACTTTGGCAGCAGGTTCCGAGGAATTAGGCTTCATCAAATTTTTATTATGTTTTTTCCTTGGTCCAAAACAACATCGTTTTAAAATTATATGCGTTGTGCTTGTGCTGCACGCAGCAGCCCAGGAACACAGCAAACAAAAAGGAGTTTGCACTTCCTTGAGCAGTTTGTAGGCACTTTCATGGCAGAGCAGAGGTGCATATTCTGCCACCTCCAAAGCGTTTTCCTGTGAGAGGAGGTGTAGGGTTGACAAAAAAAAAAAAAAAAAAAATTTAAAGGTGTTAACCCTTAAACTGCAGGTCATTTAGCATGGTGACACACATGGTTATCGGCGATGGGCAGTGGTAGATCTGGCATATCCTAATTACTTAAGATTTTCTTGAGTTAAATTTTCTTAAATTAAAGTAGGACATGTGTCATTCGAATAAATAGGGGACGTGGAGGGCATAGACAAATTGGGTAATACAAGTACTTAATAAGATTGTAAAGTATTCATTACTTATTGACTTAGAGGACTGCCTGCCTTATGAAATACAGCAATATATATTTCACTCAATTCATGTTGCATGCAAATCACAAACGTTCTCCCTGTCTTATTTTTTCTCGATGAAAAATCCCCCCCTTGATTATTTCTATAGAAGATTGCCACACAGATTGCACACAAAAAAAAAAAAAAAAAAAAAAAAAAAAAAATAATAAAAAAAAAATTCAATTTCTAGAGATCTTTCTCTCATTTGCAGTCTAGGCATGTGCAACACCAAAACTCTTGTGGAAATCTACTATTCTTTTTTGGGTCATGAAGTCAATTTCCTGGATTCTAAGAAAGTCTTGGTGTTCATGTTATGAGAAGAAACAAAGCGAAGGAAAGTGGCGAAGTCTGTGTCCTTATAACGTAGAGGGTTGGCTTGGTCAATGAGTTTTGGTGATGGTCGAACCATGCTGTTGAATGGCAGGCTGTGCAATGAGGCCACAGAGATGCGAGACTTGCAGGAGTTGACAAGAACCCTGTGGAGCACGCTCTTGTATCTCCCATTGCTGAATATCTGTCCAATAGTTTTACCACACGTAAAAGTCAAAATTTCATATTATATATGATTAACGATGTTTGTAAACCGTTGAATCTAAAAAGTTAGGTCTTTTTTTTCAATTCTTTTTAAGGCATTCTCATCCATCACATTGGAGACATTGTATCTTGCAAATTAATAGTAGGTGGCATGGGAAATAGAAGTTTTAAAATCGAAAAAATATCTCGAATACTATGTTAGACAATCACTAAATTCAGAAAAGCTTAAGTTTGAGGAAATAGTCAGCATAAATATGTATCAAACCAAGAAATAACTTGAGTTTGTGATACCCAAATGAAAAACTTTTGCAAGTGACGGTATATTGTCTGATATGGTGTCCAATTATAATACATGATTAGGCCTTCAGTTTCTCCATTTTGAGTTTAGGGTTTTGTTATTAAAAATTGTATTTTGATTGAAAATATAATACAATATATATATATCAGCATATCACGTCTTCATGTGTTATTCTTGTTTATTCCTTTTAAAATAACACATTATTGTAAAATGAGAAAAGTTGCACGTTCCACATCTATTGGTTAAATGTGAGATAACTATGTCACTATCATATGACTCATTAATTCTTCACATAAGTGGATCTCATCATCACCTTTCTGAGAGATGTGGTTGAGTGTGTGGATACCAGCTTTGTAAATGAGATCTATATGAATTAGAATGTTATCATTCTATGTGTGGAATAAAATAAATTAAAAATAATAATTCTTTACTCTTCCAAAAATATCAGTGTATAGCTAGCTTCTAAGTTTTATATAATGATTTGATGATGATTAGTATGACTTAATTAGGAAATCTTATTGAGATCTATGCAAGGATATGATGGTTAATTTGGTAATTACCAACCTCAAGATGATCACCAACATTGACAACGAATGAATTTGGAAGTGGTTCCACAGTTACCCATCTGCCCTCATGTTGTATTTGAAGGCCCTCGACTTCATCTTGAAGGAGAAGAGTGAGGAGGCCATAATCGGAATGGGGTGGCATGCCTAGTGTTAAATCTGGCTCAGGGCATGCAGGGTAGCAATTCGCCACAATGAGTTGGCTTCCATCTTCAAATTCCTCTATGCTTCTGCTTTTTCTTTCAGCACCTTCTGTTGTTTCCTCCAATCCCAGGCTTTCCAAGATGGCCTCCATCAGCATTAGATACAAAAAATTAGTGCTCTTCGAGTAGTTCACGACTGCCTCCCTATATATATGCATGGTGGCACAATACATAAATTGTGAATTAGAAGTGGATTAATATATTAATGTGATCGCATTCAAATATTAAGCACTGCAGAGAGAGAGAGAGAGAGAGAGTCACCTTAAGTCCTCAGGAGAGGAAGGCCAATAAGGCACAGTGTCTTCTAAAGGTTGGCAGCTAAGTTTCAGAAAGTCTCTCCAGCAGAACACTTTGTCATTGCTCTGGTTAAAGCTTGTTCCATACCTAGCCGGGGAAGCCATGTCCTTTGACATGTACTTTGCTCTCTCGTCGAAAGCGAGCTCGAAAAATCTTCTACTTACATCCACCATTGGAAGAATAACATCATCTTTGATACCATGGTTTACCAACTGCACACCAATCAAAACTTAACTGATCAGGATTTTATTTTCAATCTCCTTACTTTTGTTATAACTAATATGCATGGATCCATATAAAGTTTAGGGCTTGTTTTAACAAAATTCAATGTCATGAACAAATACACACAACAACATGAAATAGATGATGATGTATAACAAGAACAAGGAGAATGCATGTATGAAGTCAAATGAATATCAACCTGAAAAAATCCGAATTCTCGGCAAGCCTTTTCGAGGGAATGTATTGCTTGGCATCTATCTGAGCCTTGAAACTGAGTGAAATCAATAACTGGCAGCTTGAGGTTAAGGTTGCCAGCATTAACCCTTGTGTCTCCCAAGTTGGGTCGTTCGTTGATGGGCAATATGTACTTGCTTGGAACTCTGGTCAGCCCTCTTTCACACAAGTGTCTCACTCCTTTCTGAAGGTATTGGTTTTCTATTTCTTCATTTTCTATGGTGGAGCTTTCAAGGATTGAACCCATTTCAAGTAACATATATTATAGTACTGACTAAGATCAAAGAGAGAGTTTGTTTACATATAAATACAAAGCAAAGAAAACGAAATGGCAAGAACCCCAAGGAAATTATTGGGTGGCTTTGGACCGTCTAGTTTGGGGGAGAGAGAGAAGAAAAGGAGTGGGTGGGGAGCAAAGGGAGGGCTGGAAGGCAATAATTTGATGAATAATTTCAGAGGTGGAGTTCTACTTATAGGGAGAGGAAGAATTGGACTAAATAAAAGCAGTAAATTTGTGAAAAAAAATGGAGGTCCCCCATGTGTATAAATTCCATTTCCTTAGTGCAAAGCGACCTTTGACCAAGTTTAGTCTGACCTTATAATGGAGCAAAAGAAGTCGAGTCGCAAAAAGAAGTCGAGTCTAATCTTGAGGCGGTGGTGCATGACTGGTGGTGGGTGGTTAGGTGCTTCTACAATCTGCATGGCCCGCAGAGAAGAAAAGGTCAAGATTTCATTTTCTAGGCTTTTCTGGCTTGGTCTAGCCTCTAGAAATAAATCGATTTATCGACTTTGTCTTCCCATTATTCATTTCCCAACACTTGAAGTAAATCTTTACGGTAGAAAAGTATGAGTCTAGATATATGATGATGCCATGTTAGGGTTCGGTAAGAAGGTGACGACTTACCTGAAATTGATGATATCAACCGATGTCACCTCCATGTAAAAGATGTACAAATGATTTGTTTATTCTTATGCTATATGGATACTATTATTAACATAATTAATCTCATCGATAACTTGACACTAATGGAGTTTTAGTTGGATTGGCTCAGGTTTTTAGTGTGCTTCTAAGTGGTCTGGGTTCGAGCTCTCATGGTACTTGCGTGTGTAAGTTTCTCCCTTTCCCGGCCTCATCCTAAATTTTGAAAGAAACAAAAAAAAATCCAACTCGTTTATTAACCGTGACATCTTACTTAGCATGAGCAACATACATTTTGAACTAGAAAGTAGACTAATTAAGTAAGAAACCAAATTAAGTCATCTCTCATACACTCTCCTTATATAAAATAAAAATTCACTTAATCTTGGATGTTCTTGGAAAGTTTTGGCTAGAAGGAAAACAAAATCCTATAAATTCGAAAAAAAAAAAATTACTTCTTTATTTGTGTTAGAAATTATGTATATCATTTATCCATTTTTTATATACTGTCTCATCTTTATGAGTTATTCTTGCATGTTACACGCCTTTATCAACAATGTAATTAATAAATATGATAGCAGTTTTTGTACTTTCAGGAAAGATATTTCATACTGTATGTCAATTATAAGCAGTTGATCATTTGTCGCTTGTTGCTGTTGCTGCTCATTTCTCATGCCTTTTTTAGGTAACTTAACCTATGTTTGTCCAGGGCCTCAAAATAATATAAACCATTTCCATTATTGCATGAATGCGTCCATGCTTCAGTCTTCATGTTAGTCCTCCTCCATTATGTTGTTGACTTCAACTCTAATTGCATATATATATCATAATTCCATATAGCCATCAGTACTTTTGGATTTTGAGGACCGACACATTTTCTTCAGTGTTTTATTTTATAGTAAATTTGGCTTACACCCTTCAAATTCAATTTGCCGTACCTAAAACCCTTCACTTTTTGTTCCTATAAATAATACCCAATTTTTCTGTACGTGGCCGTTTCTCTTTGAAAACAACTAGAAGTAAAGTCATTCAAACCTTCTACTAAAGTTCTTTCAAATCAAACTGCTACTAGTGCAGCATTTCCTCCATATGGTATAGTTATTCTAATTACCAGTAGTAATAATTTTATTACCTTAAAGCCTTGTAGTCGATGTGAGAGAATAGAGTATTTTACCAATGACATATCTTTAATAATTTAATATCTTTCCATGGAGTACATATTAGGGTCTATTTGGATGGAAGGATTCCAAATTTAAGGATTTAGAGGCACTAGTATGATTATACCAGTGTAATTTATGTAAGTCAAGATTTGAATATGAACCAAGAAAAAAAACAAATGGATTTCAAATGACTCCTTTCAGTCATTTCAAACATTCCAAATATATTACATCCAGTTATTTTAAATACATTGAATCTCATGTTTTCTAGTTTCTTTTTAGTAAATTTAGCTTTGATATCAAATCCAAATCCCTTCTTTCAAATACCTCCATCTAATGGAGCCTTCTACTTTTTCCAAAAAGAAAAAATTATGTAGAGAGAGAGAGAGAGAGAGATTTTCTCCTACAGGAATGTCATGTATTTTTTATTACATCTCCCTACTTTCCTCTATATTTACAATGGCGTTCGTACACTAATAACGTCTGGCCTATATATATATTAACGTCCGTACATCTTTTAATATGCAGATGTGATGCTTTAACCAGTTTTCTTGCATCGAACTACTTGTTTAGATTTATGACCAAAAAAAAAAACTACGTGTTTACATTAAGCTGAAACAACACAGTGGAACACCAATTACAAAGGCAGCTGTCATTGAACGCCCAAAACAAAGACAGGTGTTTAACAATGAATTGGTTGGAGAAAGTAATAGAAGTGGTGGGAAAGTGGTGCAACATGTGTTTATACTTCCTATGCACTGACATACAATGATATCAAAGTTCTTGAGTTCATTTAGTAGGACAACAAATGGAAAAAACCCACTTATCCGGATATTTAAAAAACTACGCACGTCCGCATTAGAGAATTATTGTATATATTTATATATATAGAATTTTAGTTGAGGAATTCTTCAAATAAACTTATTTGATAAACACTCTTATAGAGCCCACTCCGTATTGTATTTTACTAATCCAAACCATCTATTTTGTAAATACTCATTCAAAGATCATCTCTACAAAAAGTACTTGAATCCGATATCATTTAACCACTCAATTGAATTATTGAAATTTTAGTACTTTCTTAAAGCATCATGTTCATTAATTTTGCTGGACACAATTGGATATCGAAATGATTTCCGATTTGTCTAATTTTTTGCAAAGATGATCTATGAATGTAGACTTAAAAAATAAATGATTTGGATCGTTGAAAAAAAAAATTTGTAGGAATCCCTCAAATAAGCTTATTTGAGGGAGACCCTTGTAGGGCTCACCACACATTGTATTTCAATTATCTGAATCGTCTAGTTCTTAGATATTCCCTCAAGATCATCTCCGCAAAAAAATTACTTCAGTATGAAACTATTTGATCACTCAATTATATGGTTGTTATTATTATAGTCTTTTCTTGAAGCATCATGTTCGTCTATTTTGTTGGCATCAATTAGATGCCTTAATGATTTTCAATTTATCTAATTTTTTGTAAGGATGATCTATGAATGAAGACTTGAAGAATAGATGGTTTTGATCATTAAAAAAAAAAATTCATAGGAGACCTTAATAGGTGTCCCTCAAATAAAATTATTTGAGGAATCCTTCAATAAAAGGGGACTATATATATATATACACACACACACACAACAAGGATTAATGATAATGTTTAACTTAGGTAGAACAACATATGCACATCTTGTTTGAGTTAGGTATCATTTACTTCCATCAAGTCAAGTGAGATTCAGAGACTACTTTTGGAAAGGATTTAGGAGGGGTTCAATCCAACAGTCCAATAACAACTCTGTAATGGATCAAACAATTATTAAGGACCACCTCATTATAACCCCTCACTATAACCTTTCATTCTAGCCTCCCATGTCATTCTATTTCTCATCTGCCTTGTGGACCAAACATGCTTAAAGGGTCTTATAATGATTTTGGGCCTTATCCAATTGGGCCCATTTTGCTAGCTAGGCCCGTTTACTTAAAAGGGGTAAAGTGGTCAATTTCTCCTTCTTTTGCTGAGATAGCAGGACCTTAGTACTTTGGAAAATAGTGTATTTCAGTATGCAAAATGAGGCGTGACACACAAATTATATATGAGGCCTTCGTTATCTTATGCAAATATAAAATTACTAATCCAAACTTTGCTTGTCTAATTTCAAAATAAGTTTTAGAAGTTAAACTGAAATATTCAAATACAAAGTGATATAATAGCCCCTCTCAAACTTAAGTGACAATCATGGGCCTCTTTTACTCTCTTGGATTACATGTGCCTGCCTTGGGCTTCTATATTAGAAGTAGAGGTAAGTTGGATCAAAGTTTGCTCTGGGCCTTGTCTTGCTTGCCACATTGTGAAAACAAGTCTATGAAAGGAGAGGTCATTGATTTTAACAAAACAACTTGGAATTTAAGTTTATCAAGAGTTTGAACCTTAGCAAATGTGGGTTAGGTCAGTCAGCTAGAGCAGTGAGCCCATCCCTTTTGAACCAAAGTTTGAGTCTCCCTCCCTGTAAATTTAGAGTAATTTAGAGTAATTTAAACTATCTGCTTAAAAAAAAAAAAAAAAATAAAACCAAAAAAAAAAATCATAATATACAATAATATAAAAATAAAAAATAATTTCAAAGTCCATAGTAATTTTTCAGGGACTGTTCAACATGAGATACATAATTCATGCAAAAACCAACAATCATGTAGATTGTACGTTTCTCTATATAATTTGTTGGATAAATATGTTGTTACATGATTTGGACACATTTTTAGATTTATTTATGATTATTTGTTTCACTTGATTTATTTATGATAATTTGTTGGATAAACAAAACAAGGACTGTCATGGAGTAATCAATCATCTAATCCAATTACCTAGTCCAAACAAACAAAAAATATCCTATCGTGTTTTGTTCAAAATTTATAAATAAATAATTTTAAATAATTTTTTAAAAAAGGAGAAATTGTAACTTGTATTTTCTATATTAAAGTTTTCATCACAGGATAATTTATTTGTATGAAAACAAAATGCAGTCTGATTGTCAACTGATCCATGAACATGGCGTGTGTAATAGATTGTAATGACTGAGAGACAATATCCAACGCAATAGATGCTGTGGAACCTGCTAAAGACTTTCCTTTTTGTCATTTCTTACATATATTCCTGCTCCAATGTTTGGTTGGGCA